TTCTCAAAACAAACCTACAAAGTTTTTAAACTAAAAAAGGAAGAATACTACATAAAACTTCATTTAAACAGAACTTCAACAATTTAATTGGCAAATAAAGACATTTTACAATAAAACAAGGCAGTGAGACAACAGAGTCCCAACTTCAGAAGAAAAAAATAATAATAATCAAAGATCAATAAAGGGCAGTCTCAATGGACCAGATAAAATATTAAGTGGCACTCACTGTGTGTCTCTTTGACAGAATGTCAACTTCAATAGTAAGTAAGAGGAAAAACATGACATTCACTGATCTCTTTTGTTAAGGAACTGACATACACTGTATTTGGCTATTTTCCCGATATATGTATTCCCTCAGAATAAATAAAACTTACTAATCTTGTTTCACTCTTAAATTTGTGATGCCACTTGACAACATTTGTCAATATTTCTTAGGTTTTCCTAATGCCTTAAAGAAGCTATTTTTTAGGGAGGTTTTTTTTTTTGGTTTGAGACCTAGTCTTTATGTTTGTTTGGTTTTGAGACCTAGTCTTGCTCTGTTACTCAGACTGGAATGCAATGGTATGATCTTGGCTCACTGCAAACTTGACCTCCCGGGCTCAAGCAATCCTACCAACTCAGCCTCCTGAGTAGCTGGAACTACAGGTGCAGAGCACCACACTTGGCTGCTTTTTCTGTTTTTTTGTAGAGGTGAGGTTTTGTCATGTTCCCCAGGCTGGTCTTGAACTCCTGGACTCAAGTGATATGCCCACCTCGCCTCTCAAAATGTTTAGATGATAAGTATGAGCCACCGTGCCTAGCCCAGGAAGCTATGCCTAAATCCGATTTTAAGGATTTTATTATCAGAAACAAATCACAGCTATTTACATGGAAATAGGATCTTGAGTTTTGACCTAGCCGCTTTTGGTCTTTCATGTCATTTTTCTCCATTGTAGTATCTGATCATTGGTAATCTAATTATGCACAAGGATCCTGCTTTCTGCAACTATTTTATTAGGAGAAAAATTGGGATGAAATTACTTTAAATAGATTCAACTCCCACACTCAAAAATTGATTATCTAGTATATGGATTATTCATTACCCTTGATACCTAGCATGGCCATTCTCTGGCCATTTTTGTAGTGGCTGAGAAGGGAGAGCCTGACATTCAAATAATTCAAAGCTGGTAATGTTACTAGTCTGTATGATAAAGTCCAGAAGGAAAGGATGAAACATTGTTTAAAACAAGGCTTTGCATGTCAATTACCCTCCCTATCTGCTGACTTGCCAATACCAGGAGCATCAATCACACTTCCGCCCAGCTAAATGGAGAGCTGGGGATACAACAAAACAAGCTCTGTTCAGTGAGAGAACGGACACCCCAATATGATTCCAACTCTTTTAGTTTTATTTGAGTGAGCAAGTACGGGGAAGCACAGAATAAATACTAATAGTTATGAGTTTTCCTCAAGGACCTTCCACAGTACTAGAAAAGAAGCAGGTACTCATCAAATCTTGTTCCGTTAAATGCTAATAATCAGAAGACCGTGCAAAACATGAAAATATTCCAGATTAAGTCCCTTTATCTGGACCTTCTCATCTAGGTCGCTGTGTTGCACTTTTTCACAATTATCCTGCATTTTCTCTTTACACTCCCCCTTTAGATGTCTTATCCGCTTCTCCATTTAAGCATGAACTCCATGACTTCAGGACCTAAGGACTATCTTTCTTTGTATCCTACACATAGTATTCAGTAACAATTTCACCAATAAAAGCTCTCACAACTTCATGTGAAAAGTTACATATTGTCTTATCTATCACTGCATTCTACCTTTTCACTATAAAGAAGAAACTGATTCACACCCTTGATTTGTATGGCTAATTAAGTCAAAACATCATCTACTACTGTAGTGGGTCATACCTTACTAAGAATATGACTTGATCATTGCTGTTACCCAATTCATTCTTAGCTCTCTGAGCATAAACGGGTATACGAGAGAGTTTTGAAACGTGTGGTGTGCTGTCAACCATACATACAAAAGAAACCCGAAAGATACTTACTGGTAGCTGCTTTGGACCTATCAGTATGTATCTTGTAATTACTTTTTAAGCTCCGAAACAGTAGTCTAATTAGAAAAATGCATACTAGTAGCTTCTAATCTTATAAAAAGATTCTCAAAAGAAAAAGAATCTCAAGCACTATTATTTTACCCTTAGCTTCTTGATATTAAATCATAAAGCTATGGGTTTGTTGTACTAAAAGATATCCATACAACCACTTAAAAACTTTATTTTGATGTTCCCGATAACAATCCAGCATAGAAATTCCCTATTAAGAGACCTTCTGTTTCAGAAATTGAACATGTGTCATACAACACACTATCCACACTGATGGTGGGAGCTCAGCAGGCTAATGGGGCAAAGCAATACCTGAAGACAGCGGGCAGGGAAAAGGCAAGCAGTGTGGCCTCTCAACAGCTGCTGGAGGGGAGGGAGAACGCCAGGAGCTGCTGAATCGGACTCCCACCAACCAGAGATCCCACAGGGGGACCACTGAGGTAAGGCTGGTTTATTAAGCTACAGTTGCCCTACCTCTAGCTGTCACTACATGATGCCTGTGTGTGTGTGTGTGTGTGTGTGTGAGAGAGAGAGCGAGAGAGAGAGAAGCGAGGAGACAGAGCAGGTTTTTGGCAATCTGTATAAATCAAAAAATGTTAATGTAAGTTAGGGGGTTGTGGAGTAAACTGAAAGGAAGGTGGATTAGGCTGTGAGCGACCTAAGCAGAGAAGCAGAAAAGATGCTACACATTCCCATCACAACAACACATCTTCCAGTGCATACTTATTTGCAACCAACTCCTAACGTGGCCATTGGGCATTCTTATTATTGACTGATAATCCCTGCTAGAGTTTCAGCTTATTTGATGCTTCTAAGAAAAAACTTCATTCCTGCATAATTTTTCTTAAAGACTTTTCCTGTTTTCATCTACTCGCATAAACAAATGTCACTTCTGTATTTCTCCAAAGGAAGGAACTGTGTGGAATGAAGATCAACTGTTATAACATGCCCCTGAGACAAGATGTCAGTTGGAAGCCAATTTTCTTTTGTAAGTCAAATGTGAAAACAGAATATTATGCCATGAATTTTGATGTATAAGCGGCTTTTAAGGACTCTCTCTGACACCATATGTCAAAAATCATATTATTCATGCCCAATTATTTCAAAAAAATACATAAATTTACACCCTGTATTATGCTTCCATTTATCTTCATGAGGCTACTGTATCCCCTATTCCATTAAGGGATAAGGGGCACAATCTTTTATATTGTAACATAAGCAAGTCCTCCCTTCACAAGTCACCCCTGTCCTTCACAATGTCGTTATTTTCCACAAGTCACGTGTAGAGTATTTGCTTTATTTCCCAACTAAAACTAATGCACACAAATTCAGTCTCTTTTCCTTTAATGTTAAGTCAGATGAAGCCTCTACAGTAGAAATCCTATAGTCTTATGCTCTCATGTATACAATCTTCAACAGAAACTCAACAGTGATTAACTCAAAGTCAAACAAGTCCTAAAAAACAACCTTCGGCAAAGGCCAAAGGAATCAAAACTATACCCTCTTGTGACCACAGCACTACTGTATCCACCCTTCAAACATTTTTTTTCCAAACATTACAACCCAATCATTTGGCGAAACCACAGCTTATTCCTGATTTAGAAAAGTAAAGTTCACGGACTTGCTAAACTATACAACTCCAGCCAGAAAGCACAAATGCCTTTTCTAAGCCTGGCAATTACACAGCATTTGAACTGAAAACTCACATTTTTAAGCTCAAAATCAGTGGGTCACTGTCGATCACCTTGTTGATATCACAAACAACTGATATCTTCAAAGATTATTAATGAGTCCCTCTTGTGCCATAGTTAATAGACAAGAACAAATAGTTTACACACATTCACCCTGAAGAAAGGCTGCATTAACGTTCAGCCTGTGCGATATAATTACTGTACTCATAAGCACATATTTAACTTAGTTGATTCTCTCATGTTTCAGTAGTTGTGCTTCCCAAAACAGGGGGAAGCACAGGTCCCTGGAAAACTCCAGCAAGATTTCTCTTGGCAGGGGGAAGAATGTGATAAACAGGGAAAACACAATCACACGGAATGTCTGCACTTGGTTCCTTTGTGATACTTAAATAGCACTCCCCTACTGGGCTCTGCCCACTGCACCGAATGGAGAAACCATTTTAGAGCTTAACAATTCAGTCCCTACACACACTAAGAGGAAGAACTCAGAAATTCTAAATACAAAATAGGGGTGTGTTAAGAAATAATGAACTGTTTCCCTCTCTCCCAGCAGGACTGTTTTTTTTTTTTTTCCCATCTTGGAGGCAAAACATGCTAATCCTGAGAACAGAGCCAACATTGGTCTGAAAAGAAACTTGATAGAAATCTAAAAACTCTGGTTAAAAGAAGGAAAGTAGAAAAAAAAATTCAAAAACTCCTTGAGACTAACATATCAGGTTAAGCCCCTTGCGTGTTCATTTTCCTTCATGTCACAGCCCAACACCCGTTTAATTCAAGCATCAATCTTAGAAGAAAGATGCAAGAAGACTATCTATGATTCCCAAAGTTTTCTCAGTGCAGTTTCACAAGAGCTCCATGTTCTAGCCCGATTGCTATAAGGGCAAAAGGTTCTCTCTAGGGTGGTGGTTTATCATTGAACTTTTCACAAGTCACATGAGTATGTGGCTCTGATGGAAGGAGGGAGATTGCTGAGAACAAATAACAGCTATTTTATCCTTCTTTGATAGATATAAGATACAAGCTCAAGCTGAATCTAGTTGGAAGAGCGTTTTTATTTTAGACATGTAAACAAATGGCGCTGAATTCCAATACAAAAACATTTCAAAAGAAACTCCCAATGGGGGGCAAAAATCATGAAGGGTAAGTGATAAAAACAGAATTCTACATAACAAACTTTTTCAAACGTTTAAATTTTTAAAAAATCAAGTCACCTTTTCTGGGATGGGCTTTGTATATCCAGTTTTCGTCATCCACTTCCACCTGCTGCCCACAAACCGAGAGCTCTCCATCACTGCGAAACAGCCTCTTTGTCTGCCTGGACAAGGAGGAGAAATTTATCCAACTCACAGCACGTGAGAGAGAACCTGCATTCGGCTTGAGTCTGAAGGAACCTGAAGAGCCTTCCTTTTTCATCTTCTTTTCAAAATCGACTAGAGACAAAGAACAGCCCAGCAAAGAAAACGCTGGGTCTTTCACATCGGCCCAGGTCCTCTCCAGGCGCCTATTTCCCACTTAGACAACGTTGACAGTCAGGCATGGCATTATCCAAAAAGACAGCTTCTGTGTCACCCAATGACAAAGAAAGGGAAAAGGAGGGGTTAAGAAAGAAAAGACAAACGTTTTACCCTAGCCACACTGTGGACTCCGTTTCTAGATCAGCGAGATCCACGGCCAAAAATTAATAGATTAATAAAAGTATAATTTAAAAATTGAAGCAGGGTGTTCATTTCAGGAACACTTGTCAGGACTTTGCAAAACACAAAGCCAAGGCACTCCGACTCTTTGGTGTGTCTCTAGCATCCCAAATTGTAATCCTACTCCTCTCCCGGGCATCTTTCCCCACCAGGGCAGAAAGCCAGCTGTCGGTTGCAGAAAGAAGTCACTCCTCACCCTAGAGAAAAAGATTCAGGGTCAAGCCAGGCACCCAGTTTACAGTTCACCTACACGGTTACTTGGGAGAAATCAAAGAGCTCGGCTCACTCGCCCCAGCACAGGGCAGAATCATAAACCGCCCACTTGCCCTCCTTCCCGTCTGGGAAGCGCTCCCTCAGAGCCGCAAGATTCCGCAAACAATAAAACCGGCTGCGTGGCTATTGCTTGGATTACGGAGCAAGCACTCCTGCGAAAGATGATAGGCTTTCCCGACACCAAAGGCACCTCATTGGAGACAGAAAACCCCGCCTCTCCACAGTCAATACTTCAGTGGCAGCTCAAACTTCCGAACTTTAGCGCAGCTCGGGGTCTGCAAGTCTGGGCAGAATAGAGACTTCTGGGCATAAAGAAAAAGAACTTGATTATTAATTATCAGACCATACCTCTGAATGTGCAAATTTGAGAGGGGCTTAATACAGTACATATAAATACATCCAACATTCCTAGATGGATTTAGGAACGTCCATCATTTAAGGAAATATACTTCCAAAGAATGTAACTGACCCAGCTATTCACTCCCAGCTTCCAGCAAAGGTGAAACTTGAGCCATTATTGTACCTGTTATTGCCACTCCTGCCTGTCACCAGCAGCCAGAGTATGACGCTGAGGATTCTCCTCTGCCCTGTCACTGGGAGCCCCTGGGCTCCCAGTCTGGATCCTCTCCAGCCTCAAATGATCATCCTATCACAAAGAGTCATCGGAGAGCTATGCTAGTGGCAGTTAGCTACAGGCTGTAGCCCTGAGCCTCCTATGCAAACTATCTAGAGCCACAACTTGCAATGCATTTGGGTGTCGGATTTCACCCAAGGCTAACTCACTGCAATTCTGTGGTCCTAAGGGTGTTTAAAGTCCCTGCAACTTTCCATCACAGAGACTTGGGTCGGCATCTCCTTCCCCCAAGTGTTATTTGGAGTAAGGCAAATAAGCAACAAGTAGAGTAGGTCTGCAGCACTTTGCTTCCCTCAGCATCGATCAAACACATTAAAACTAACAAATGGCAATAGAAAGCAAACTTTGGTTAAAAAATTTAAAACCAAGATTGTGCATCATACATCTACTCCAATTCACTGAGATTTTAAGAAACAGGCTCTACGAGCTTACAGGGATAGGAACATTTGTAGAAGAAAGTCAGAAGTTCTACAAAGTTCCTAGGATGGACAGTTCATACCACACCACGTAAATAATGACAGAGAACAGGTACTACTAAGAGAGAAGCTACACAGCAGTCTCGGTTTAAAAGCTAAAAGGGACCTCGAGATCATGTAATTTAAACTCCTTGATTTTCAGATAGGGAAGCTCAGACCCAGAGCAAGTATGTTTATACCCAATGTCACACAGAGGAGTTCAGTCATGAGGACCAGGCTGCATCAGACACCACTGGGATCAGAGATTCACACACTTACCAGGGATGCCTGATACATCACCAAATGCTCTGGGCCTGTTCCAGTTATTAATCAGAATCGTATCTCTACACTGACTACCATTGTGAAGGCAAAGGTACAATATTTATGTATAAAACCAGTGACTAACATCAAACATCCACTCTATTCTTTCTGAGTAGAAAAGAAAGAAGAGTCTCAAAATACGCAAGGAAAAGCAAAAAAAAAAGACCATCTCACCAGAAATATCCATAAATGCCCCAAATGCTGCTTACCATTTCATTGGTTCATGAGACCCCCCAAACACACATCTGTGCACATTCAAAGGATCCACAGAACCCAAACGATGAACACAATTCTCTCCTCCCTACTCTCTACAACCTGCAGCTGCATTTTTAATTTAAAAACATCTGGCTGGGCACGCTGGTTTACCTGTGTAATACTAGCATTTTGGGAAGCCAAGGTAGGTGAATTGCTTGAGCTCAGGAGTTGAAGCCCAGCCTGGGAAACATGGCAAAATCCTGCCTACCAATAATACCAAAAAAATTTTTTTTTAAATAGCCAGGCATGGTGGCAATTGCCTGTGGTCCCAGTTACGCAGGAGGCTGAGGTAGGAGGATCACTTAAGCCCAAGAAATGGAGACTTTAGTGAGATGTGGTTGCACCACTGCACTAAAAAGAAAAATTTTAAAATGATATATATGCTCAAAACTTGTGCTGTTCTTTTTTTTGATTTTGCTCTTGTTGCCCAGGCTGGAGTGATCTGGGCTTACCACAACCTCCACCTTCCAGGTTTAAGCCATTGTCCTGCCTCAGCCTCCTGAGTAGCTGGGATTACACTCATGTGCCACCACACCTGGCTAATTTTGTATTTTTAGTAGAGATGGAGTTTCTCCATATTGGTCAGGCTGGTCTCAAACTCCTGAGGTGATCCACCCACCTCGGCCTCCCAAAGTGCTGGGATTACAGGTGTGAGCCACCACACCCAGCCCAAGTGGTGTTCTTTATTTACCAGAAGTGCTGTTGAGTGCTTTCCTCAACTCACCCTCACACAGCAGCAAAGATGAATTGGTGTCATTAGTAACTGGTGTGTTTTCCTCCAGCGCCCCCATCCCTGCACACATCAAGGAAAGGGTTAATAGGAGCGGCTAAAGGATAAATAGGAGCGGCTAAAGGAACATTTCTTACTCAGCAACCAAAAATAACTAGTCCATTCACGGACTAGACTCATGACTCTCCCTCCAAGTAAGTTCTCACTCATGCCAGATTTCCAGAAACTGGGCACCCACAAATCATAAGACCTAAGGATACATTTGCATAATAATCAATTCTCTGTCCACTAGCTAGTCCACATTTCTGTTATAATGGGCCTTGATTAGTAAATCCTCATTTATCTAAGAAAGTCAAATAAATTAACTACTTTTACAACTGGATCAGAGTTCCTGTTGGTCAAGAGAGAATATAATGATTTAAATCAGCTTTGCAGGAAATATTTAGATTTTAACTATGCATGTTCTAAGCTAGATATATACTCTGTTTAGCTTAGAACATCCTAAGTGGTCTTAAGAAGCTACTACATTCACTCAAGCTATATTTATTTAGCAACCATGACGAACGCCACATTTTAGTTATATGGACTATCAACCCACGAGCCAATACAAATCAGCCCCTCCCAGCAGCAGGGCCAAGGCTGCTTTGTGCTTCCTGTATATTATTCCTAATCTTCACAATAACCTTGCCATGGCCAATCCCTACTTTTACTTTTTTTATTTAATTTTTTGGGGGGGATGGAGTCTCACTCTGTTATTCAGGCTGGAGTGCAGTGGCACGATCTTGGCTCACTGCAACCTCCGCCTCCCAGGTTTAAGGGATTCTCTTGCCTCAGCCTCCCAAGTAGCTAGGATTACAGGCGTGCGCCTCCACATCCGGCTAATTTTTGTATTTTAAGTAGAGACAGAGTTTCACCATGCTGACCAGGCTGGTTTCAAATTCCTGACATCAGGGGATCTGCCCACATCAGCCTCCCAAAGTGCTGGGATTATAGGCATGAGCCAACACTCCCCAACTGAAAATCCCCACTTTTACAGTAATTTTTAAAAAAATAACTTCAGCTATTATCTTCAAAGTAATAAAAATATCTTAGTGTAACCATTTTCCCTATGAAAATCTACACTCGACTGCCTTGTCCCCATGTGAGACAGACGTGCTGAACAGATTTTATCCGCCTTCCTAACCGCACTGGGCTGCCCCCTCCCCTCTCACTGTCAGGCTGTCAAATTCAAACTTCTGCTGTCATCTCATGTGCCAATAACTGCTCCCTTCCTACCACTTTGCCACTGCTGAGATTCAGGCATTAGGAATCACATAAACAGGCTTGTTTAAATTACATGTTTAGTGTGAGTTAATAAGGGCTCACGGAATAAAAGGCAGAGTCTCGTGGCAGGGCTTTGTCGCAGTTGCCTTTGGCCAGCACCCCTGTCCTTCATCAGCTGGATGGAAGTCCCAGGGTTGAAATGGCTGGAAGAGTAAACCCTGCATAATGACCCCCAGGCAGATCTTTACCAGGTTTATGTTCGATCATGTCTTTTATATTAAGGCCTCTGCACTTGAGGGTCACTTACCATCACTGCTGACAAAGGGACAAGAGATTGCTCAATCTTACTCTACATATTTCAGAAACAATTTAAGTAATACACTAAGGAAAAGTTAACTATAAAAACTGGAGGTACCAGAATAAATTACTAAGGGAAGTTCTAGAATCACCTCCTTTGGGAATTCCTAAGTCAAATGCCCATTAATTTGGAAAGATTTATTTATGCTTCTACCAGGAGTCAAAGGAATAGACTGAATATGTTTGGAAGGTTCTTGCCGTAAGACACAGTGTTCTATGTTTCAGCATATACTGGCATCCTTAAAAAGGAGCTCATCATAAATGAAAGTTTGGGACTTAATAAAAGTGTTACAGTGGACAGGATATGGGATTAGACAAACCTCTCAGTGCAATCAGGCATGTAATTACTCTATTTGCCATCTGCGTAAAATGCCAGCCAAAAACAGGAACTAATTTCAAGTGCCATCAGTTTTTGGGCCCCACAGGCCACCAATGAGCACTGTGACTTTTCATTTCCATGTGCAGCTTGCTTGCCCTTTGAAACCTAGGAAAGAGAACATGAGAGGCAGCACCCTGACTTTAGAAATCAATGGGAAAACACCGCTGGCTTGTGAGAGCTGCTGGGGCTGGCTGGTTTGGCTGGGAGTGAGGCGCATCAACAGAAGGCATGTGAACAGAGACAAAGGTGCAAAGCAAACCACATACAGCAGAGAGGAGGACTGCTCGAAGCGGCGTCACGTTCTGAAGCAGCCCTGCCTGGGCTGGGAGCAGTGAAGTGTGCCTCTCATCAGATTACCACATGAATCACCCAGACAACCCATAGGGACCTTTAGCTTAGGACAGGGTGCAGTAGGTTTTCCAACTGTCATCTCCTGTGAATAATTCAAGAGTAGACTTAAACAGAAATCTTTCTATGAGGTAATTTGTACACACAAATGATGAAAGCTTATCTCAATATCAAAAGTAAACACTCTGAGCCAGATTTTTATAACTAGAAAAACAAAACAACCAAACCGTATTACACCCAGGCTCATAGCAAACACACTCCCCACAGTACATTAAATCCTCCTTCCTTTATTCACCGTTCCACCCACCAAGGAATGAGACAAGCAACTGTACTCAAGAAAGAAGTCGTGGAACAGACACAGCTAATTACCTATTCAGAGCCGGTCTCGTTTTCAGGTTGCCCTCAACTACCAGTGCTTCAATACGTAAAAGAAGAAAAAGCACTGACTTTTCATGAAACCCTGGCTTTAAATGCCATATACACCTTCAGTGGAATTAATAGTGTTGTTCTCCTCAAAGGGAAAGAGTAAACACAAACATTTATGCATATGTCACCCCAGCCCAACTTCCACCATTCAGAGTCTTCATGTCTGAAAAGAGCCAAGAGATCTGACATCCTAAGCCTTAGCTACACTGTCCCCATGGGATCACTTGATACAGGAGCAATATGGCAGATTATTGTTCTCAGTCCCCTGAGGGGCAAGGGGATAAAGGATGTCCCTGGTACAGAAGCTGCCACTGACAGAGAATATGGACTGTCAGAGGCTTGGTGAGCAGTCGATAACCAAGAATGTGACATCTGTACCAACTTCACCAAGAAAAAAAAGGTCCCCAATCTAAGGCATTCAGATTGCAAGGAACCCTAAAACAGCACCAACTTTGAGATTCTTCTGATATAAGACCACCAAGGGCAAACTTACTGAGATCAAAAGAAACTTCCAAATAAATAATTTTTTCTTCTTTTTAGAGACAGAGTCTTGCTCTGTCACCCAGGCTGGAATGCAGTGGTGCCATCTCTGCTCACTGCAACCTCCGCCTCCCGGGTTCAAGGAATTCTCTTGCCTCAGCCTCCTAAGTAGCTGGGATTGCAGGTACATACCACCATGCCCAGCTAATTTTGTATTTTTAGTAGAGATGGGGTTTCACCATGTTGGTCAGGCTGGTCTCAAACTCCTGACCTCGTGATCTACCTGCCTTGGCCTCCCAAAGTGCTGGGATTACAGGCATGCGTCACGGTGCTCAGTCCAAATAAATAATTTTTTAAAATCATGACTTCCTTTGTTCTTGCTACCTTTTCTGTAGCCTCTCCAGTGATCACTGTGGTTATTATTTGTTTCTATCCACTCAACCAGTATTTTTACAAATTGTGTTAAGCACTTAAAATCATAGATCTTACTGACATGCAGAGTGTGTCTGGGGAAGGGACTGAAATTCTGAGCTCCTAGAAGTGCCCACGTGATGCCAATACACAGACCATGTTTAAGTTAGCACAGTGCTAGACTATAATCCTCCCCGAGTCCAGGGAGCTCATCAGTCATCTTCCTGTCTCTTATAGCAGTGGACCCCAACCTCTGTGGCACCAGGGACCAGTTTCGTGGAAGACAGTTTTTCCATGGACAGCAGAGTAGGGGGTGGTTTCAGGATGAAACTGTTCCACCTCAGCTCATCATCAGGCATTAGATTCTTAGTGTGCAGCCTAGATCCCTGCCATGTGTGGCTCACAGCACGGTTTGTGCTCCTATGAGAATCGAATGCCGCTGCTCATCTGACAGGAGGTGAAGCTCAGGCAGTCCTGCTCACCCGCCCACAGCTCACCTCCTGCTGAGAGGCCTGGTTCCTAACAGGCCATGAACTGGTTGGTACCATTCCACGGCCTGGGGTTTGGGGACCCCTGTCTTATAATACTTCACACGCAGCCAGCATTTAACCAATATTGGTTGACAGGGTGAAAAAATTGAACCATCCATCACTTCCATGTTACCTCTTTCTTTTGATCTCAACAAGTTTCGGGGTAAAGAGATAATCAGACCTTTATAGCAATCATTCCTTTATCACTAAATCACAAAAAGCAAAAGCAAAACGTATAAACTGGCAAAGGTATACAATCTGAATTAAAGGGTTAATAATAAAACTCCATTATTCATACAGCCATATTGTTTCACTTTGGGAAGAAAAAAGGTTATTAACTGACAGGTGTATGCGTTTCTTCATTTATCAGGACATCTTCACTGCTTCCATCCACCAAAACTTCAGAATCCAATGATCCAGCCCAGAACCCAGTGCAATCAACAGCCAAATCATAATGCAGCCCAGATTCTACCTGATAATCACACACAGGCTGGGACCTGCTGGGTTCTACCAGGTGACTTTAATTGCTCCATGCCAGTGGGAAAAACATTTTACATCAGTTTTTCCTAGTAGATATTTTAAAAATTAGAAAGAATTTTCCAATCAACCTTCAGTGCCCTTCTAAGGCAATTATTCTATTTAACTCTATCTTTAAAACTATACTCACTACGGCTCTCTAGTGCTTACATGGAATAGATCTGACTTTGATCAGACACTTTATCAATTCAGCCCCCTTTTACTGCGCTACTTCTACATGCTATGCCTTTACACATTGCTTGATCTAAGTGGTGATTTCCAGTGAAGCAGATACATCTTGCTTCTAAGGATTAACAGAACTGAACATAAAGTAACGAAAATTCTTTAATCCAGAGCACCCAGTAAGCAAAAATATCGAGTATGTTTCCAAACAAGGAAAGAGACAGAAATGCAAATACATATATTTAGAATTACTGCGGCCAGGCATCAGTATGTGCGTCACCTCCAGAAATGAAAAACAGCCCAGTTACTGAGATAAGTTCAAATATTTATTGATCTCTTGGTAGGAGATGGGCCAGGCAGGTTGATTCTAAAGCAAAAAAATAGGGCCCTGCCCTAGGAAGTCTAAAATTTGTTGTAGGAGACAGATATGCATAGATACTTTCAACATACTACAAAAAAGGAAATAAAAGAAACAAGTAATAGGCCTGAGTCAAGCCTCTGGCCTTGAGTGATTTCTTCGGGATGAGATGTACTCTCTAGCTGAGTTTTCTAGTGGTTGGGAGATTTAGCCAACCAGTGGTGTCCTAGTAAACTAGTTCTCTCAGGTGGGGAGAAGGAATGTGGGAAACCATGACTTATTATACAGATTTGCCAATTTCCGTGACATAAAGACTCCCACCATGGCCACTTTCAAGATACCAACAATGTAACAACCAGCCTGCTAAAATCTTGAAATTTAAGAACTGGCTCCCACGGTCAGTACATGCTGGCTCCAGCATACCACTGGATGTGGCAAACACAACCATTGGGCAAACACAGTGACTTGGTAGAAAATGAACAGCCCCACAATTCCCAATTTTGTAAGTATTAGCATGGGTGGAGGGGGAGAAATCTCTAAACGTTACCTGACATGGGAAAAGACACATAGGTGTGATTCAGTGAAGGGTCTGGAGATGGGGAGATTATCCTGGATTAGCTGGGCGGGCTATAAATGCAAACACATGTGTCCTTTAAAAGAGAAGAGCATGGGAAGACTTCGACCAGAAGAGGAAAAGGCAGTATGACCACAGAGGCTGAGATTGCAGTGATTCAGCCACCAGAGCTGGAAGAAGCAAAGAACAGGATCTTCCCTAGATCCTGTGGAGGGAATGCAGCCCTGCCAACACTTTGACTTCAGACTTAGGGCCTCCAGAGGGATGAGGGAATAAATTCCCGTTGTTTTGAGCCACCAAGTTTGTGGTAGTTTTTAGAGCAGCTGTAGGAAGCTGATGCAGTGGAGTACCAATGGGAGTTCTGCCACCTGTTACATCTTTAAGCATTTCTGCTCATTTTGTAAGAATTCTGATTTTTTTTTTTTTTTTGGCACTCTTGTCCTTTTTTGGTGTTGTTTATAAAAGCCAAAGTTGAAAAGACTTGGCCTAATAGGGAATGAGTAGAGGCAGTTTAAGTTGTCAAAAACTGGCAATTTAGAGAAATTTTTCATAGGCCGGGCAGGGTGACTCACACCTATAATCCCAGCACTTTGGAAGGCTGAAGTGGGTGGGATCACCTGAGGTCGGGAGTTCGAGACCAGTCTAGTCAACATGGTGAAACCCTGTCTCTACTAAAAATATAAAAATCAGCCAGGCATGGAGGCAGGCGTCTGTAATCCCAGCTAGTTGGGAGGCTGAGGCAGGAGAATCACCTGAACGTAGGAGACGGAGGTTGCAGTGAGCCGAGATCGTGCCACTGCATTTCAGCCTGGGTGACAGAGAGAGACTCCATCTCAAAAAAAAAAAAAAAAAAAACCTGACAGGAAAAATAATCAAAGCAGGATCTGCAAGCATTTATACCAAGTGTTGTAAGACAGTAACACAAAGTTGGTGTGGCCTCAGGCTCTTACTGTCTCAATCTTTTAGTCTCTGTCATATCAGAATGCTCTGAATGAGGAAAAGAAAATTAGAAGTTTTGAGATTCTCCTTTTTTTTTTTTTTTGAGTCAGGTCTTGCTCTGTTGCTCAGGCTGGAGTGCAATGGCATGATCTTGGCTCACTGAAGCCTCTGTCTCACAGGTTCAAGCAATTCTTGAGCCTCCACCTCTGCAGTAGCTGGGATTACAGGTGCACACCACCATGCCCAGCTAATTTTTGTATTTTTAGTGGAGACAGGGTTTCACCATGTGGGCCAGGCTGGTCTTGAACTCCTGACCTCAAGTGATCCGGCTCGGCTGCCTTGGCCTCCAAAGTGCTGGGATTACAGGAGTGAGCCACTGTGCCCAGACAGGTTCCACTTTTTAAAAATTCAATGTTAAGCCAATAATGCCTGCTGCAAGTGTGTGAAAATATTTGGAGGTTTGTCTGAGGCAGGTCATGACATGACGAAAAGTGCTACTTTTTTAGCCAAAGTAGCCTTAATTTTTTTTTTTTTTTTGGAGATGAAGTCTCACTCTGTCACTCAGGCTGGGCAGTGGTGTAATCTTAGCTCACTGCAACCTTCACCTCCCAGGTTCAAACAATTCTGTCTCAGCCTCTCGAGTAGCCAAGATTATAGGCATGCACCACCACACCTGGCTAATTTTTGGATTTTTAGTAGAGAGGGGGTTTCACCATGTTGGCCAGGCTGGTCTTGAACTCCTGACACAAGTGATCCACCCTCCTCTGCCTCCCAAAGTGCTGAGATTATAAGCATGAGCCATCACACCTGGCCCAAAGTGGCCTTAAAGAGCAGTTTTTAAATCACTAAGCATACGGAAATGGAATACAATAAATAATCTTCAATAATTTTAGGGCACTCCATTTCAAGACCAAAAAATCTCTTTTCCCCTGGGGAATAACCGGATGAACATGAATGAGAATGTAAAATATTTTTTAAAAGATGGGACAAAAAAAGCTTTGAAAAATTTTAAAACCAGTAAGCAAATAGTCCTAATGACTATTGCTTTTAGTCGTCTGTTCTAGACAGATCACTGCTGCCATCTTGGTAGATGTATTTGACAGGTGACGATACTGAGGAAGAAAATGATGCAGTATGTCACCTGAGGTCCTAAGCTGAGCATCTACCCAACTCCAAGTCAGGAGCCGTCCCTTCCACTATGCTGAGGGCCACTGCCTGCGCTGTCTCCCCTGGGCTACTGCCATGCCCTGGAACTGGATGGCCTGCTCTTGGCTGTGCACCTTCCCCATCTGTCCTCCCTAACACCAGGCACACCTCGCTCTACGCCTCCAGGCCCCCGACTCTATCTCCTCCATCTCTGGTGCATTTCTCAGCTTTTCCACTGGCTTTACTTTTACTTACCCTTCAAAACTTCTGCCAGGAGCTGCCTCAATTCAAATAAGCAAAAGTTTATTGGGCACTGTAACATTTAACGACCGCTCCTCACAAACTCCCGCAAAACTCGGTGGTTTCAAGCAGTCATCACTTACAATTTCTCACAAGCCAGTGGGTGATCTGTAGGTCAGTGAACCTCGGCTGAGGGTGGCTTTGCTCCAAGGTATCTGTCTCTGTGTGCCTGAGAATGAGGAATTCCCTGGGACATGGAACTGCAGTTTTAAAATGGGGGCTGTCCTGGATCCACCAGGATGGCTGGTCACCTTGGCGGTGACCTCCAGGTGTCCCTCCCTGTCCTAGGACCAGCAGGCAGTCCAAGCCTGTCTTTTCCACGGCAATGGCACAAGCTCATGGCAGAGTGGACAAGCTCAGCTGCAGAAGCTTCCTAGGCAGGAGGGCTGCTCACATTCCATTGGCCAAAGCAGGTCATGTGCCCAAGCCCAGCATCACCAGGCAAGGAAATAACTCCACTTGCCCAAGGAAGTGGGGGCGGGGGATGAATATTTCTGAATCTCATCTACCACAGGCATCTACTGGGCAAGTTACCAAGGGTTAAAGACCAAAAGCACCAATCCTGACCTCGGGGATGAGGCTATGTGAGGCACCCCCACTATGTGTTCCCATAACACCCCACACTTCAGTTGCATCACACATTTGCCATTCCAGACTATAAACCACTGGAGAGAAAGAACTGAGGCTTCTGTCACTGTGTGCCCAGACCTGGCATACAATAAGCACTAAATTGATGTTTGTTAACCTGCACTGGCCCATCATGTGCTGTTCATTGTCATATTCAACTCTCTCCTGACAGATGAACCCAAATTTCTTTACTAGAACTCCTTTGATATTCCCCCACGTAAAACGCTTGATTAGATACAGACAGTATATATTTTAAGGCTTTGCCAACTCTATAGTCCCCGCTACAACAACTCAATCTGCCATTGTAACAAAAAACAGCCAGACAACAGGTAAACAAAGGAGGGTGGCTGGGTTTCAATAAAATTTTACTTACAGAAACATGGCAGGTGCAGTGGCTCACACCTGTAATCCTAGCACTTAGAGAGGCTAAGGTGGGAGGATCACTTGAGGCCAGGAGTTGGAGACCAGCCTGGAGAACAAAGTGAGACACTCCCCACACCCCACCTCCACCTCGTCTCTACAAAAAATAAAATTAGCTGGCTCGGTGGTGCTCACCTATAGTCCCAGCTACTCAGGAAGCTGACGTAGGAGGATCACGTGAGCCTAGAGGTTTGAGGCTGCAGTGAGTTATGAACGCACCATTGCACTCCAGCCTGAGCGACAGAGCCAGATTTTATCTCAAATAAGTAAATAAATAAAATTATATTATTCTATCATACATTAAGCAAAAAAATAAAAATAAATAATATTAAAAACTTTCCACTCACTCTGCAACTAAAGGAACCACAGACTTGGTATCTCTTTATAAACTAATTCACCTGATCCTTTTCCTACAATCTTGTTTGTGAAATTAAATGAACACTTCACAGCCAGATAGATCTAAAAACTGACCTCTACATTTCCACATATGCAATCTGCAAATTTGACTAAGGGCATAGCCGTTTATGTTTCTCTCACATACTGTCTATTAAAATTTCACTCTTTTAAAACTTAGCAAATTTAAGATGACTTTATCTTTGTATGTTCTCTTCAGCTCAACAATTTTTTACAGTCATATGCACTGGCAACTCTCCCAACAATCATCAAAATCCCCCAGTAGAAGGGCTATTTCGAGAAGGGGAATCCAATTTGATAACGACTACTTCAGTGGTCCCTGGGCAATTACTTTTGTTACAGTCTTAAAGTAATGAAGTCATCTGATAAGGAGAAATGTAGAGAACAAAAAGCTTACAGAGCACTTCAGACACTCAGAAATTTGAGGTTGAAACACTCATTCCCCAGGATCAAAACTGGGTATATTAAATTGAGACAACTTCTATTACCATAATATGCTATTTGAAGATACACCATCAAGAAGAACTTCAAAGAAGGATGAAGTACCTCTACAAAGTAAACACCTTGCCCTTTCCACTGACGGCAGACTGGAGGGGACAAACTGAGGCTGGCAAGCACAAACGGAGGCATCTGCTCCAGAAATACTCCTCCCTGATCATCCTCCGCCCAGCCCAGCCACACGGGTGTTTCTCTGAAACACAGAACTGCTGTTGGAGTTTTCAGAGAAAACACAAAATGCAGCTGCGTGGGTAAGGAACACAGGCCCTAACAGCTGTACTTACCCTTGACTGTCATTTCTCTGCTTGAACCCTGGCACGCTGCAGACACCCGGGCCTTTATTTCTTAGAGTAGCTATGAAAACTAAGTGAGAAATGCCCACTTTATTAGCACTCGGTAACTGATAGGTTATTTTCAGCAACAGCAGGAACAGTCCTTGAAATAGATGGGGCTGACTGGCTAAGGCTGGAAGCAGGTGATTAGTTACACCTGGAACCAGGTGCGGTGGGGGGGGGGTGCGTACCTGCTTCCAGGTGTAACCAATTCCAGGTGTGTGGGTTGTCTATGTACAGGGCAGGGAAGGTGAGCTGGGATTGAAAGTCAGATTCCCATCAGGAAAGTATTTTCCATCAGGGAAATATTTCACCCATGCCAGAATTATGAGGAAAGGAAGTGAGCACCCGAGTCTCACCTATAATCATACAATTCTAAAAGTAACCACACTTGTGTGATTTCACCTATTTGTGAGGCATTATTTTTCTTCACTAAAGGATGTGAGGTGATGAATGGTTCAAAGAGAAGTGTGAAATTCTGACAAGTTAAACGAAATTACTACAAAAATAGCACAGGTATAGCTACCTTACCTCATAAGGAATGTCAGTTATTTTAAATGACTGAAAAATTTTTTAAAAAATTGAAAACTCCAAATTTGGTCAAAACTCTCTCTCTCATGTTCCATCCTAAAGTTTGTTTCACTGATATATTTTTCTAGGAAAAAAAATGAACACAGAAAAAAAGTACCAGGCACTGAATTTCTCCATAAAATCACCATTGGTTACAGTTGATGAGAAAATCCTTAGGCCAGGCACAGTGGCTCATGCCTGTAATCCCAGCACTTTGGGAGGCAGAGGCGGGCAGATCATGAGGTCAAAAGATTAAGGCCAACTTGGTGAAACCCCATCTCTACTAAAAAAAACAACAACAACAACAACAAAAATTAGCTGGGCCTGGTGGTTCACACCTGTAATCCCAGCTATCAGGGAGGCTGAGGCAGGAGAAGAAATCCTTGAATCCAGGAAGCAGAGGTTGCGGTGGGCTGAGATCATGCCATTGCACTCCAGCCTGGGCAACAAGAGCAAAACTCTGACTCAAAAAAGAGAAAATCCTTAAAGTGAGTTACATTTCAAAGTAGGGGGGAAAGGCAAGGAATGTTAGCTCACACCTGTAATCCCGGCTGAGGTGGGAGGACTACTTGAGGACAGAGGCTCAGGATCAGACTGAGAAACACAGCAAGTCCCAGTTTCTACAAAAAAAAAAAAAACTTAAAAATTAGCTGAGTATGCTGGTGAATGCCTGTATTTCCAACTACAAGGGAGCCAGAGGCAGGAGGATCACTTCAGCTCAGGAGTTCAAGGTTGCAATGGAGCTGTGATTGCGCCTCTGCACTCTAGCCTGGGCAACAGAGCAAGACTCCAACTTTAAAAACAAAAACAATCAAATAAGAAAATAAGTTAATAGTGTCAAAATCTTTTTTTTTTTTTTTTTGAAATGGAGTCTTGCTCTTGCCCAAGCTGGAGTGCAGTGGTTCGATCTCGGCTCACTGCAACCTCCATTATCTGGGTTCAAGTGATTCTGCTGCCTCAGCCTCCCAAAGAGCTGGAATTACAGGCACCCACCACAATGCCCAGCTAACTTTTGTATTTTTAGTAAAGATAGAGGTTCACCATGTTGACCAGGCTGGTCTCGAACTCCTGACCTCAAGTGATCCACCCACCTTGGTCTCCCAAAGTGCTGGGACTACATGCATGAGCCACTGCGCCCGGCCCCAAATTCTTAATTTATAACATAGTCTAACACCAGTTATTCAGCACATAGGAAATTATAGCAGGGTACAGCCTATACTTGAGGTACAATAAGTGATATCACTTAAGAAGTAACAAAGTCACTTAAGAATTAATATGTCAGTATATGCTCAGCCACTTCCAGAAAAGACACCCTTTGCAAAAGAAGATTACCGGCCAGGCTCAGTGGCTAACGCCTGTAATCTCAACACTTTGGTAGGCCGAGGCAGGCAGATCACCTGAGGTCAGGAGTTCAAGACCAGTCTGACCAACATGAAGAAACCCCGGCTCTACTAAAAAATACAAAAATTTGCTGGGTGTGGTGGCACGTGCCTGTAGCCCAACTACTCAGGAGGCTGAGGCAGGAGAATTGCTTGAACCTGGGATGCAGAGGTTGTGGTGAGCCAAGATTGCACCACTGCACTCCAGCCTGAAGACTGGTGACAGAGTGAGGCTCTGTCTCAAAAAAACAAACAAACAAAATTAGCCGTGTGTGGTGGTGCATGCCTATAATCCCAGCTACTCAGGAGGCTGAGGCAGGAGAATCACTTGAACGTGGGAGGCAGAGGTTGCGGTGAGCCAAGATCGCGCCACTGCACCCTAGCCTGGGCAACAAGAGTGAAACTCCATCTCAAAAAAACAAAAACAAAACCGAGATTACAATGAGGTCAGAGGAAAGATTAAAATCTAATTTACTTAACTAGGGTAGAGCTTCATAATAATTAGTCTACCTAGAGAAATCAATAGTCTCATCAAATGTTCTGCCACCAGCCTAATAAAGGTAGTGGGGGAATGTGAGGGAGAGGACAATCAGTAAGCACTGATTTAGGTTTAGGATGCAGTGGAACACTGTGAGTCCCCTGTGTTTGGCGACCTAGTGCTGCTCAAAGACAAATGACACAGGACGGGTCAGGTCCAACTGAAACTGCTTCAGCCCTTTCATTCTCAACCATGGCTGAACATCAGAGCCATCATTATAAAGATTCTTTCTTATTTGATAGGTTATGAGTAGAGTGGGTTTGGGGTTTCTTGTTTAGCACTTGTGATTTCTTTTGGGGGGAGATGGAGTCTCGTTCTGTCACCCTGACTGGAATACAGTGGCATGATCTCTGCTCACTGCAACCTCCGTCTCCTGAGTTCAAGCAATTCTCTTGTCTCAGCCTCCTGAGTAACTGGGATTACAGGCATGCACCACCATACCTGGCTAATTTTTTGTATTTTTAGTAGAGACGAGGTTTCACTACATTGACCAGGCTGGTCTCAAACTCCTGACCTCAGGTGATCCGCCCACCTCAGCCTCCCAAAGTATTGGGATTACAAGCGTGAGACATTGCACCTGGCGGGACTTGTGTTTTTAAACAGCTTCATGCACCCAGCGCAGTGGCTCATGGTTACTAGGAAAACTAAGTCACTTTATACTATTTGTTTGTTTATTTACATTACAGAAGCTTGAGGCCCAAGGCGAGCTTAGAGCTAATCCCATCATACACTTTCATCGTTCAGATGAGGAAACGGAACCAGAAAGGTCAGGTGCGATGCTTGCCCCCACCCCACTCCACCCCCGGCGGCAGGAATCATCTCAGCAGTCTACCACTGTGTGTCCCAGCACTTAGCAGGTGCTCCATAAAATCTTTAGAAATTCTTTCTCAGGGCTAGGTCATCAGCAAAGTTAGGACCCAGAACCAGGCACAGTTTAAAATAATAACCGGCTAGGCCTGGTGGCTCATGCCTGCAATCTCAGCATTTTGGGAGGCCCAAGCGGGTAGATCACTTGAGGTCAGCAGTTCAAAGACCAGCCTGGGCAACATGGTGAAACCCCATCTCTACTAAAAATATAAAAATTAGCCAGGTGTGGTGGTGTGTACCTGTAATCCCAGCTACTTGGAGGCTGAGGCAGGAGAATTGCTTGAACCCAGGAGGCAGAGGTTTCAGTGAGCCAAGATCACACCATGGTACTCCAGCCTGGGTGACAAAGCGAGACTTCATCTCAAAAATAACAATAAATAAAAGATAAAATAATAATGACACTGTAACTCAATGAAAACAAACTGAGCCTAGGTAAAGCCATTTTCCAAGGCCATACCCCTCCGACAGCATGGAGCTTGAACCTACCTGTCTTCACCACCGCCTTAAATTACCATAATCATCTGTCCATAGACCAGACATGTGGCATATTAGAAAACATTCCTTCCGAAGTTACACAGCAAGGTGATCTCTTAAAATGTGTTTTTATTAAATTTCAAGTTTGGCTGAAAAGAAAGCTCTAGAGAAGAGGAAACTAACTTTGTCAGACTGCACCATTAAGGATAAA